GCAGACAACCTTGTCTTCAGATTGTTAATATCCCTCATACTAGATCCTGCAATCAACATATCATCCACATACAAGAGTAGAAAGACATATGAATCAGTGTATTTCTTGAAGTAACAACAAGGATCCTTTTCAGCTTTGCAGAATCCACTCTTGGTCATGAAGGAGTCAAACTTTTTGTGCTACTGCTCTGGTGCTTGCTTTAGTCCATACAAGCTCCTGGTGAGCTTGAACATCATATGTTCCTTTCCTTGAACCACAAATCCTTCCGGTTGCTGCATATAGATTTTTTTGTTCAGATCTCCATGTAAAAACACTGGTTTTACATCAATTTGCTCTAGATGCATATTCTCCGATGCAACAATACTCAACAGAATTCGAATAGAGGGTAACTTCACAACATGAGAGAATATTTCAGCATAGTCAATACCTTTCCTTTGTTAATATCCTTTAACCACTAAACGAGCCTTGAACCTTCTTTTGCCATCTGGTTCAGTCTTGATTCTGAACACCCACTGCTCAGCAAAGCTCTCTTCCCTGTAGCTAACTCAGTCAACACCCATGTGTCGTTCTTCTCAAGTGACCTCATCTTATCATCCATGGCTTTCTCCCACTTGATCGAATCCTCCACCTGTAGGGCCTCATCAAAAGACTCTGATACCCCCTCATCTGTCAGCAATAGATAGTGTAATGAAGGTGAATACCTATCTGGTGCCCTGATGGTTCTGGATGATCTCCTTAACACCTGCTCAGGTGTAACTTTCTCCACTTCAGATTCTTCAGTAGGATTTGGTTGAGTATCTTCTTCGACATCTCTGGAGTTACTTTTGTCCAACTCAACCTCAACTCCCACTTTTTTTTAATCTCTAGAACCTTCTATTCTATGTCCTTGTACAGGACAAACTCATCAAATGTCACGTCACAATGTCTCAGGATCTTTCTGTTCTTGTCATCCTAAAACTTTTAACCAAACAAATCAAAACCATATCCTATGAAGTAACACTTCACAACCTTGGCATCAAGCTTGTCTCTCTTTTCTGGATCGACATGAACATAAGCAGTACAACCAAAAGTCCTCAAGTGTGAGTACTTGAGTTCTTTTCCTGTCCACACCTTCTCTGGAATCTTGAACCCTAAAGGAATTGAGAGTTCCCTGTTGATGAAGTATGCAACTATACTCACAGCATCCGCCCAAAATGTTTTGGGCAGCCCATAATGTATCCTCATACACCTTGCACACTCATTCAATGTTCTGTTCATCTTCTCAGAAATTCCATTCTGCCTTTCCTTACCAAGAACTGTTCTCATCAATCTGATTCCCTCAGCTGCACAGAATGCCTTAAACTCTGATTTGTCATAATCTTCTCCATTATCAGACCTTAGGCTTTTGACTTTCAAACCGGTCTGATTCTAAACTTCAGCTTTCCACTTCTTGAACGTTGAAAACACATCTGACTTATTCTTCAAGAAGTAAACCCATACCTTCATGCTGGAATTATCAATGAAGATGACAAAGAATCTGGATCCTCCAAGTGATGTTACTGGAGATGGTCCCCAAACATCTGTATGGACCATTTACAGCCGCACTTTCTTTGGCTCTCCAGGAGTCTTTGTGAAGCTTACTCTTTTCTCTTTGCCCATAACACAGCTCTCGCAAAAACCCATATCAACAGACTTGAGACCCTCTAATGCTCCTTTTGCAACCAACATCTTCATTCCTTTAGAACTTATGTGTCCAAGTCTGTTGTGCCACAGACATGAACCAGAAGCACCTTCAGCAAGAACGACCATGTTAATACACCCTGCAGTAGTGTACAAGGTTCCAGATTTGGTGCCACGAGCTACTGCCATAGCACCCTTCACAATCTTCCATCAACCTTTTCCAAACTCTGCTGCATATCCCTTGCTATCCAACTGACCAACAGAGATCAAATTTTTCTTAAGCTGAGGAATATATCTGACATCCTCCAATATCCACTGGTTTCCCGAGGTTGTCTTTATGCAAACATCCTCCTTTCCTTCAATCTCTAAGGCTTTATTGTCAGCACGATACACCTTTCCAAAATTTCCAGATTTGAAATTTTGGAATAACTCCTTGCTTGGAGACGAATGGAAAGATGCACCAGAATCCAAAATCCATAATAAAACCGGGTTGTTCATACTAAGGATTAGAGCATCCCAATGTCCTCTGCTGAATTAACATAATTATTATCATCTCCCGATTTCTGATTTTGTTTCTTCTTTGGCTTGGTACAGCTCTTCCAAAAGTGCACTTTTTCCCCATAGTTCCAACAAGTCACGTTTGATCTGTTCAAACATTTTCCTCGATTCTTTGATTTTGATCGACCATGATGATTTTGGCCTTTCGTCTTACTTCTCCCCTTTCAGTCAACACTGAGAGCACTGCCCGATGAATCTCCCACTTCTCATTTGTGAACACTTTTGCTAAGGACATCACGGATTTCATCAAACTTCAGTTTCTCAGATCCACGAGAACTGCTTATCGCAACAACAACAGTATCCTAAGACTCGGGTAGAGATGACATCAAAATCAGTGCCTTAATTTCATCTTTGAAATTAATATCCACAAAATTAATTTGACTCACAATCATATGGAACACATTTATATGATCATAAACAGATTCATTCTCAGATCGGACATAGTCTTCTCCTTCACGATGTTGAACACCACATTTCTTGAATAGTCAATCGGATCAACCCTAGAGCCTGGCGATCCTTGATCTTCCACTTCTCCTTCGTCATGCATTCCCGCTTCACCCCGGTCAACGGTTCGTGAAGATCTTTCTGGTACACATAATCTTCTATCTGCATCTTCCAGAAACTAAAATCGGATCCATCAAACTTCTCAATTCCAAGCTTCGAACTATCCATCTTCAGTGATCCTGTTGAATCTCCTTAGCTCTGATACCAGTTGTTAGGATCGAATCCACACAGACACACTTGATGAATAAAGAACACAAGAACTTTCAAGATAGAGATGAGAGATCTAGAGAGAGAGAAAGAGAGAAACTAATATTTCGTGGTAACACCCCATGAGTAAACTTCCACAGCGATGGGTATATATATCAATAATTTAGAGTATTTTAGGTTACAGAGAATAAATGGAGAAGAAATAGTACAACCTAAAATTGAACCGCGTGAACATTAATATATGACAGTACATCAAATATTAATCAGGCTCCACAACCTAACACTCTACTCACACACTCCATATAAATATCAAGCTCTTTGTATATGATTAATTCATTCTTTCTCAAGAAATTAAGAGATGGACAAGTCTAGTTCTTTTGCTTTGCTTCATATTTGTTATGGCCATGCCAATGGCTCAAGGTGTTGAATTAGGTTTCAAGGCTGTTGAAAAATGGTTCAAGAAACTTCCTCATGCAAAGTAAAAGGTAACTAATAAGAAGTAAAACAGTCGTGTCAAGTAAATAACCCAACTAATGAGGTTGGGATCGTCCCCTATTACTACTATTGTTCAGTCATTTACTTCCTTGGAAAGCAAAAATGATAAAAGGGGGGTTTCCTATTTCTAAGTAAATGAAAATAACTAGCGAAATTGAAAGAGACACTTAACAGCTTCAAATGTTGGAGTTTAATCAATTAATGAAGGTAACTAGGGTTTCCGTGTTCCCCACAGGTTCATAACTTGATAATTCCTTTCCTATTATCTACCTCCTTGGTCCGGCAAGTAGCATTAAGGCGAGTTCTAACGTTGGCCATCTGTTAAAAATACTTCTAAGCGAAAGAATTATCAATACATGCAAGACACTATTCTATAATTGTTATTTTAGTTAGGTTTTACCTTATTATTTGTCTATGGTTCCCACAACCCTAGTTATGGAGTTTACTTACCCATAGTCATAATTACAATATTCAAATATGTGATATAATAATTCATGCACTTACTTCGATGAGAAAGAGTAAAATCCGAAAGTTCACTTGATTAATCAGCAAAAGTCACCAACAATCAGTGATAAAAGTCTCAAGATAATCAATAATCTCTCAAAGAGTCTACAAAATAATCAAGAGTCTCACAATATTCAAAGGTCTAACAATGATCCAGAGTCTAACCTCAAAAATGAGGTTTTTTTGAACTATTTATAGAAAATAAAAACCTAATTAAACAAGGACTCTATTTCCTGGAAATCAGTCAAAACGCAGCTGGATCGACAGACATCGCGACAGATTGTCGTGGTCACGATGGACCGTCATGGACTCCGTCGTCCCATACTTGATGAAATTTCTTCTGCTTCTCTCTTCATTACCCTCGATGGCAGGTATGACGGATCGTTACAAGCACAACGGTCCGTCAAGGGTCTCATTTCCAAAACACTTGAACTCTTGGAATATGGGTACTGGGCTACTTCTCTGATCTTCATGACGAACCTGCAGGATGGACCGTCATGGCTACAACGGTGTGTCACGTTTTCCGTAACCCCACACTTGATCAGACTTCCCCATCTTCCTTCAGCAGCTGCACTACGCTACCACCTACGGACCGTCACAAGCATGACGGACCTGCACAAGCTCCGTAGGTGGTCTCTTCTGCATTTCTTGGCTCAAAAACCTCCGCATTCATCTTTGGACAAATTTCCTGCAAATAAGGAGAAACTTATATAAAAAATTAGCATAAAAAGGCTTTTGGACACACTAAATTTAAGGAAAAAGTATTAATAATACCGTAAAACCACGGTATATTAGTAACACCTCATGAGTAAACTTCCACGGCGATGGGTATATATATCAATATTTCAGAGTATTTTAGGTCACAGAGAATAAATAGTACAACCTAATATTGAACCACGGAACATTAATATATGACAGTACATAAAATATTAATCAGGCTCCACAACCTAAAACTCTACTCACACACTCCATATAAATATCAAGATCTTTGTATACGATTAATGCATTATTTCTCAAGAAATTAAGAGATGGAAAAAACAAGTCTAGTTCTATTGCTTTTCTTCGTATATGTTATGGCCATGCCAATGGCTCAAGGTGTTAAATTAGGTTCCAAGGCTGTTGAAAAATGGTTAAAGAAACTTCCTCATGCAAAGCAAAAGGTAACTAAATTTCATTTCTATTTTCACAACAAAGTTAGTGCGAAAATTCCAACTGCAGTCCAAATAGCCCAATCAAACATGACTGCCAAATACCCAACTTCCTTTGGATTTGTTACAATGATAGGCGACCCACTAACAGTTGGACCAGAGTCTAACTCGACAATAGTAGGTCAAGCCCAAGGGATTTATGGTTCAGCTGATCAAGATAAGGGTGCCCTTCTCATGACCCTAAATTTTTGTGTTCACAACTGGAAAGTATAATGGGAGCACATTGAGTATTCTTGACCGTAATGCATTTCAATAGTACCGTGAAATGCCGTTTTTTGGTTGGCTCAGGGAATCGCCAACGGAAGATTTATTGGTTCAATAGGACTAATGGGATGCTGTTGTTGAGTATAATGTTATGGTTCTACATTACTCACATTAATTTAATTATTTGAATCTTTAATTTGCTTAATGTTGGTGTTCATTTGATGATATTGAATGGCACATTAACTTCTCAATTACTGAATAATCATGATGCTGCAAAAGGAAGTTAGTTGGCTGACGTTGAAGCCATCAATTTGCTACTCTTGATCTTTCCCTTATATAATATCAACAAAAATCATTTTCTTTTGGGAGGTGGTGATGGACTCAACTTCTTTCTTCCTATTTTACTGTGAGCAAGCTTCTAATAATTTTATGAGATAATGCACAATATCCCCTCAACTTATGTCCAAAATCTTAGAGACATACTTATACTATAATAAGGTCCTATTACCCCCTGAACATATTTTATTAATAATTTTCTACCCCTTTTTGGCCTAAGTGGTACTATCTTGCGGGCCCTACGCTGGTTGACTTTTTTTTCCAAGTTAGTGCCACATAGGCTGAAAAGGGGTAGAAAATTACTTATAAAATAAGTGCATGGGGTAATAGGACCTTAGTATAATATAAGTGTGTCTCTAGGATTTCGGGCATAGGTTGAGGGGGTACTTGTGCATTTTCCCTAAATATGTATATAGGGCAACAATAGTTTGGTCTTACAAAAAAATAATTTTTTTGCTTCTATTTCTGTTTTGCTTAAGTAGTAGAAATTTTTAACTTCTTCCAACAACCTCTAATCTAGATCCTAACATGTACTAAATTCGGATTAATAGATAGACACAAAAAGAGGAAATAAAGAGCAACCTAATGGCCTCACCTCATTAATCCATCAAGAACCCAACTCTTACGAAGATCAGCTTGAGGGAATCAATAACCCAAGCAACCCTCATTTCTAAACAATGCTCAAAAAAATCTTACAAAGCTTTCAACACTCACACAAGGAGTTCAGGTTTACGACCACAATATTCAAAATCAGTATCCTTTAAAATGAACCCTAAGACACCTATTTATAGTTTTAGGACTTGTTAAATAAATGAACCCAAAAGTGACCCTAAAATAGGCCAATGGGCGAGCCAAATCGGGCTCACCAAACGACTCGACGATCCGCCAAATGAGTTTGGCGATAGCCCTGCTCCTTGGCTTCTCCTTGGATGGCTTGTTGCAACTTTCAGTGATTTGGGGGTCAAAGGGCGATGTGCCGAATGTCCTCTACGCTCGCTGAATGGGCAACCTTTTTATGAATCTCATTGGATCAGTCGGCGATCCTGGAACCTCGCCAAAGGGGTTCAACGAGTCGTCAAAGTGGCTGGCATCTCGCCTAATGGAGAAACACTTTCCTTTACTCCTCCTTGACTCGTTGGACGTAACAAATCAAAATCCTTACTATATTAATAAGATCACTAGAACATGATTACAACCTTCAGATTCGAATTGAAATAATCAAACTATCGAATTACAATGGAAATATTGAAATAACGAGTAATTAAAGATAAAAGAAGAATGGAGATGAAGACTTAGATTCTAGAAGAGAAGGAGAAGACAAAGATTTCTTCAATATTCATAAACCCTTCTTTCCAACTCATTTTTTATTTAAACCAAATGCTAATGGGCCTGGATCCCAAATAAAACACTTCAATAATTTACTAGGCCCAATCTCATTTCTTAATTCTTACTCATAGGCCCTTATAGAGCTAGCTTGGTTCACAACAATACACACCAATGTAACAAATCGGAACCCTCACTATATTAATAAAAGCACTAGAATAGGATTATAACCTTAATATTCTAATTGAAATAAACTAACTACCAAATTACAATGGAAATATTGAAATGAAGAGTAACTAAAGATAGAAGAAGAATGGAGATGAGAACTTAGATTCTAGAAGAAGAAGAGAAGACAAACATTTTCTTCAATATGCATAAACCCTTCTTTCCAACTCATTTTGTCTTTAAACAAAATTATAATTGGGCCTGGATCCCAAATAAAACACTCCAATATTTTACTCAGCCCAATCTTATTTTTCAGTTCTAACTCATAAATCCTAATAGAGCTATCTTGGTTCACAACAACACACCTGTCTCCAAAAAGAACCTCGTTCTCAAGGTTCGAGTCAGGATACATCATCCAACAATATGGAGAATAATAAACTCGGCTAGAACAGGCAAAACTGTGTAGGAACCATATCATAATTTGGTTGGCAGCTTTGACAAGTCTAGACATGGTTGCATAATTCTTGATCATCTTTGGAACATGGCAGGGATGTTTAATAATTTGAAATATGTCCAAAAGAGAAATGAACCTAAACATCTAACCCAAACTTATGGAAGCAATACTAGCAGCAACATAAGAGACCTTTGACATATTTTCTAAAAGCAACCAACACATATGGCTAACAAGAGCTGCAATTCCCTTCGTACTCCATTTTGCCTTCATATCCTTTATGATCAATTGAAATATTCACCTTCAAGAGCTGATGAATAGTGTTAGAAGCTAACCTTCCCCCAAACCTCTACATTGAAACTGATATCAGCCAACAACCACACTCTCTTTGATTTGCAGTAAAACTCTCCGACATTAACAAATGGAGTTCATGTACAACCTGCCCTGCAACCATACACTTGTTCAAGAGGATAACAAAACTAATGGAGTATCTAAGCCATGATGTAATCTATGATGTGCAGCGCACTCTATCATCTCAAGGACCCATAAAGTGTGTAGCCTGTAGTAGGGGACTCAACCAGAAATATTACCTTATATCCACTCCTGAATACTATCTCTTCCCACTCCAGTAACATTGTAGCAAGCAGATGTATATAGTGAAGATGTAAAATTGATGTATGCTTGGAGTTGGCCATATGTAAAACTGATGTGTGCTTGGAGTTGTCCGCCAAAACCTCATATTTAACATCATAATAATATCGATGTAAGACTAGTGTATATGCAATTTACAGACATATGAACAAATTTAGCAAGTAGAAATTTACAAACCATTGTAGTCCAGGATCCCACACTATATTCATAGAGTTTGAATACGTAATTATGAATAACTTGTCAGTACTTCTAAGCAATAATAGTTCCTTTGCATTGTATATTGTAAAACTTGTTAGAGCCATGAACTCAAAATGTATTCCTAGATCCGAGGCAAAAGGATCACAATTGTTGGAATGTTTACAGTCAGAAAATCAGTAACAAAAGCAAATGGAAATGGACTCAACTTATGTTGACCGTCGAATTCCTCAACAGATTTTGCATTGCCAGCTTCAAGATATACGTCAACATAATGCATCACACTTGTTGGAGTGGAAACATCATCCTCCAGAGAAAAGTTACCAAGACTTAGAGCTTCAACAATCTTTTTGCCCTGAAAAGATATTGTTATACTTTTACTAATCGTTGGACCGCTATCTACCTCGTTATGTATCATAGTAATTGTAGAATGTAGAAATGCACGGGAAGAAATCGTGTTTTACCCCCATCATCCAACCCATAAAAATGACACTCCCTAGAGACAAAGTCAAACTGTCGTATATCCTGTGCGCACCTATACCAAACAAAAAAAATAATTAGAAGATTGCCCTCCTGCCCAGTATCAACCCAATTGAATCAGGTTAGAGCTTCACCATCAAGATAGATTGAAGGAAGAGGTAACCAATACTTCTCGTCGAAGCCAATGAATGTGAATTACTGCTCCGCCCGAAAAAGCCAGCCCTCTGGATTGCCGATGCCACAAAATCGTTCCAATATCACCACTTCCATCAGATTACGAAAATGAAAGCACTAGTGTAACAAACCGAAATCCTCACTATATTAATAAGAGCACTAGAACATGATTACAACCTTTAGATTCTAATTGAAATAATCAAACTACCGAATTACAATGGAAATATTGAAATAACGAGTAATTAAAGATAGAAGAAGAATAAAGATGAGGACTTAGATTCTTGAAGAAGAGGAGAAGACAAATATTTTCTTCAATAAGTATAAACCCTTCTTTCCAACTCATTTTATCTTTAAAACATATGCTAATTTATCCAGGATCCCAAATAAAACTGTCCAATATTTTACTCGGCCCAATCTCATTTCTCAATTCTAAATCATAGGCCCTTGTAGAGCTAGCTTGGTTCACAACATTGAACCTCCCACACTCCAAGTTATCATCCTTACAAGGTGGTTCACAGCTGGGAGCTCCTTTTAAGCGCATTTCCCAAGCCCATGAACCTCCATCCTTGATAATAATCCATTAGTACGTTGTAATTCGTGAATGAATGGTTTGGGGGCAATCTGTATTGCATGAAAATGTGTGAGTTCGCCTTTGAATCATAGGTCATCAAATCCTACAAATTTAACTATAAAACATTATTATCAGTAAAGTTTTTACCTTCAAAATATGATTGTCGATTATGATACTCTGTTAAAGTCATAATCCTCAATTTTTTTTGAACTGACCACATATGATTATAAAATAAATCTTGTCGTAAGGAATGCTTTACATATTCCAACAATATTCAATAAAGTTTTTACTAGTGTGACTCATTATTCAGAAAACTTCATCATGTACAAATAAGTCAAGTTAAGGTATTATACTCCCTCTATTTTAAAAAGAATGACCTGGTTTTACTTGACACGAAGTTTAAGAAAATAAAGAAGACTTTTAAATCTTGTGGTACTAAATTAAAGTTATGTGAAATGTACAAAATTGTCTTTTAATCTTGTGGCCTTAAACCTGTCACGTGGAAAGTTGAAATTAAAATGTTACCAAAAAAAGAAATAGGACAATCTTTTTGAAACAGACTAAAAAGATTATTATGTTAAGTTCTTAATATAGCTTTACAATTGTTTTTCTGATTTATAAATTATTTTAAAAATGTCTTATTTTTATCTGTAGGATAAGATGGCAAACTTTGAACATAATTTGATGATTGCTTTGAATTGATTTGATGAAATAATTACTTATGTGAATTGATTCAAATATATAGAACGTGCTAAAACGATTATTAGCATGTCTACCTTAACTAACTATGTTGGA